GATGAAGCAAAACAAGCACGTTTATTATCTCGAAAGTAAGTCAATAGGAAAAGAAAAGATTGAATCATACGAAAAAAAAATATTTTTTAAATTTTACAAATATTCAAATCATAAATAATCGGTTATAGAAAAGAATATGAAATCAAAAGAAAACAAACTATTACCTTTCGTTCTTTCTACAAACGTCATTACATCTGATTTTAATCTCTTGGAAAAAAAAATCTGCTGATAATACGTAATAAAATGTTTATAAATCATGATTGACTCTTCTTTTATTTTGAAATCGATAAGAGTTACGATTAGTTTCCGGCCCGAAAAATTTTAATCAGTAAGTTCGGGTTCAGCAATTCTTGGGTCCGATGGGCTCTAGATATCAGCCATCGAAATGGATCGCCCGTTCCGGTCCGACGATTTTATCCTTTTTTGACATAATTGACTCACCCCCTGAGAGGGGATAGTAGGAAGCTTTTCCACCTGCCCCCCTCCCTTGGTACGAAGTTTCTTTCGGGCCCGATTTCAAGGTCTGCTAGATAAGATACTGTGTTCTCACCGTAAAAGTACGTACATGGTTCTGATTGAGACTAGAAAAATTCGATCACCAGAAATCAAAATCATGAATTAAAAATATATTAATTTGAATTATTCTTTTCAGAGAAACGAATGGTAATCATATAAATGATACAACATTTCGTAATTCAACAAAACAAACTCCAACATCAACATTATCTGATGCATCTCCATCACCTCCATCTATGCTTCAAAATCCATTATTAAATTCTCAACAAGAAATGAATATTGATGATGAACAACGACAAAAACGTGAGATTGCTAAACGACGTGAAGAAGATCGTAAACGTCGAGAAGTACGAAATAGAAATAAAAAAAAGAAAATTTTCAATTATTCTAAATTAATTTCATTTTTGTGTTTCTAGTGTCAAGCACTGAATCAATCATTACCATTTAATCGTCATACTGATTTTGATTTTCATTTATGAACTGATTATCATTCAGTATTTTATTTCCCTATTCTTCTTCTTCTCTTGTAATCTCGCTCGTCGTTTCTTCTTCTTCTTCTTCTTCTTTCTCTTGTTGTCATATGTATAGATATTATTGTTTTTTTTTTGTGTTTGTTTTGTTCGTACATATATTGGATTAAGGTCATTTTGTGTTCGAGTGAGAAAATCAAAGAGAGAGAACGAGTGCCATTTTATTTTGCAAAAAAAAAAAAAGAAAATACTTAACGATGAATTATTATTATTATTGTTTCCATAAGAGATATTAAAATATATATATATATATACATACAAACTCAAAAATTTATGTCCATATACTTAGCAAAAAAACATTTTGACTTGTTGGATACATATGAAAACAACTTATTGTTGTCTTGACAGTCAATCGTTTGTGTATGTGTAATGCTACTCATATCTTCTTTGTTTTTCCGTTCTATATATATATATATATATTATAAAATTACATGCGTTAATGCGTATGTTCATATATGATTTACTTTACTTTCTTTTTCTTTTCTTTCGTTTATTGTTTTCTTTCTTTCTTTCTTTTTTCTTGTGACAGATTGTATAAGTTTTTGCTTGAGTGTGTGTATGTGTGTCATGTTTTTTTTTTTTTCCTCTTTTCTTTTTTTCATTGATTAAACCCAAAAGAGAGAACTTGCTGATCCCGTGAGATAACACATATAAATGTTCTTTCGTTTTGGTTTCTCTACTCGTGTTTTCTTTTTTTTGTTTTTCTTTTTTTCTTTTCGTTTCATCAACAGGAAAAAAAAAATAAACTTGAGAGAGAAAGAAGATTGTGTATATGAATTTAGTTTTTGTTTTTTCTTTTTGTTTTTGTTTTGCTATGGACTAATGTAAAAAAAAAAAAAGAAAAGAAAAAAGATACACGCAATTAAAAACGACGATAATTATTTGGTGTTGTTGTATTATATAATGCTGAATTGACATGTGCTTGTGGACCAGGACCAAATTTAATTGGTGGTCGTGCTGGTCGAATTGGACTGAATTGACCTCTAAAGAAAAAAATTATTTTTAAATAATGTGTATTGTATGTAGAATCCATCTAAGTCCGCGATCAAAGCAGATACTATGAAATTAAAGAGTAATTTCGAAATGTGAAGTCGTTTTTTTTGTTTAACGTGTATTTATAAATTCGGTGCTGTTTAATGGAATTTCAATTCTTTCGGAGTATTATATTGATTTTATGAATCTTAAAATAGTCCAATCTGAATTTAACTTGATTTATAGTTTTACTTCTATAACGGTAAGATACTGGAAATTTCTTGAAAATATGAAATCAAACAAGGATATTATATAATACTGCTTCATGTTTAGCTTAATACGAACATTGTATACAACTCTGAAATCAAATTTAATAGCGTTTTATTTTTACATTACAAGTTAATATTTTCTCTACTACTATAAAGTCTTTAATATGAATGAACTTGTTATATGTTTATATATATATGAAACATACCGTCGAAGAGTAAGTTCTAATCGTAATGAATTACGAATTAAATTTTCAGCATCTTCATGTTTCATTGAACTCGTATCTTGTCCTTCAATAGAAGCAATACCATCACCTGGATGAAGTTTATTATGTGATGGTGAATTAGCTGTTACCTATATGTAACATATAATTAGAAAATATTTATTTATTATTATAAGAAAATGATCTACAAACTTTTTTAATCGATAATGGAAATCTATAATCAGCTCCACCTTGAAGACGAAAACCCCAATTTTGATCTAAACTTGAACGTTCCAAAAATATAGGTACTGAAGGAAATAGAGAATAATCCATTTGTTGTCTTGTGTATGTAGCTTAGGAATAATATTCGGTTCTATTAGACGACAACTTCTGTATGTTTTTTTTCCTTCTTAGTTTGTTTACGTGTCGTTTAGTTCTATGTTTCTTATTAGATTTTTCTTCTTTTTCTCATATATTTCTAATAAGGAAGAAGAAGAAGAAGAAGAACTTTTTGTATCGTTCTATAGACCTAATATGGCAAAATCATCCTTCTCATGCGTATGTTTTTGTACACATTAATTGCAATGCTGGCGCTTCACTAGATTATCATGATTGTTTTTTAGTTATACTCCGTATGACGTGAATAAACAAATGGAGAACGACAAAAACATAACATAATATATATTTTTTTTTTGTCTATTCTTTCTTCATACTATTTCCTTCTATCCCTATCCAACACAACTGTTACAAAACAAAATCAAACTGTTTTTGTCTAGCTTGTATATATTATGTCGTTCGATCAATTGTCTATAAGAATATTACAGATGATGATTGAGACTGTTAGAATTATTAAGATTATAGTATTGATCTTTTAGTCGGAAATTATTGCGTCAAAAAAAAAAGAAAATCTTCTAATCGATAATTAATAAAAAAAACAAAAAAAGGCTATCAGAAAACGATAATTATAACTTTATTCGAAAGGAAGTAAAATATTTTGTAGAAAATTTTTGATTGAATATTTATACCGAGATATATATATAAGTATATAATACTACACTTGTTGTTTTTTTAACTATAGCAATAAAATCCGTAATTGAACAAGAAGGTAATTTTTCATTTCAATGAAATCACGGGTGACCAGAAGATGTTTATTCAGTTTTGATCCATTAGAAAGTATTTCCGATAAGTTAGGACTATAATTGACTAAGCTATCGAATTGTTTTTCTAGAGGCCCCTGATTTTTGGAAAACTGGTATTATGCTCTTTTTGAAGTTTATTATAGAAATTAGCCTAGTTGAATTCTCTATATGCACAATGTTTCAGATCAAAATAAGAGTTTTCCAAAAATTCGATAGCTTAGTCAGCTTAGTTTTTATTAGAATATTATGCAATATCTATAAGTCAAAAAAAATCATTGAAATTGGAAGAAGACATCTGAAGAGGTTTCCTTGATAGTTCAATATCAAATTTTGTAGAGAAGTGTTCCACTATGCAAAACGACCGAGTTCTATAATTTTTAGCATGTTCACAAAAGGAACTCATAAGATAGATAATCAAAAAGGTCCTCATTACTCTTGAACAGAAAAGGATACAATATTTCTAATACAAAATTCTGATTGGGATCTATAATTTTTGGCTCATCCAAAATGCTTTGAGGTAGACTAAAAAATGAAGTCTACTATTTTCTTCTCGCATTGACTATATAACACATTTCTTTCATTCAGTTCTTTGATAAAGATTGAACTAATTTGATATACAGCATAATAAAGTAAATTATCTAATACTTTTCAAAACTTTAGATATGGCACTCATCACTTTTGTGAAACACAGTGTAAAAAGAGTATTAAAGTGTATAAGGTAGCAATTTACCTCATCCAAACCATGAGAGACAGAATCAACAGACACATTGGTAACGGTTCATGACAGACTTCTTAGCAACGGCACATCACGACAGACGTTATTGTTATACAATCAAAGACCGATCAGCAACAACAGCTATATCACCACAGGGATTTTATTGACATCTTTTTTTGTTTTTTATTCAAATCAATAAATTTTAATATTTTGAATGTGTCTCATCAATTACTCGCAATAATGAATATCATGTCAATTATAACATCTAATTGATACAATCAATTTCTAAGATAAAATATTGAATTAAAATTGTAGCAAGGTCATTCTCTTAAATGTTATCAAAAATAAAAAACTAAGATACTCAAGACACATTACTGGTATGCTGATGGTAGTGCTTTATCTAGTATGGAGACTGTGCTCTTCGCGTATTTTGTGGTTATTGTATCTGTGCTTCAAAAACTCGAATGTTTGCCTTCGCTTGATATGATAAATCGCCTCTTTCCGAAGAGAAAGTGATTTTCTCAATAGATGTCAGCATTGATCATATTTCAATTCGTATTTCGTTCGGAATTCGTATTGGATATATAGAATTCTCTGTCTCGTATATGTTTTTATGTTCGTTTCTTTTTCCAAATTTCGTTTCTGTAATTCTTTATTTTTTTTAAATGTAATTTTAGAATGTTCTAAACATTCTCTCGGAAATTTTCCTTTAAATCAAACTAAAAATTAAATCATGAGAAATTTTATTACACTTGAAGAAAAAGGAAGTGTTCGTGAATTTATTGCCAATGATTTAAACAATGCTGGTTTACGCATTGATACAAATAAATATCGTAATATTATTATTAATCAACTATCACCTCATATAACAAATAATCTTAAACAACAACAACAAGGTTCACGTGTATTTAATGTACCACTTCATCAAATGGATACAATATCAGTAAAAATAGATAATTTTGATTTAACAGTACCGATATTTTTACGTTGGTGTTTTGATTGTATACGTCGTTCAATAAAACATGAAGGTCTTTTTCGAAAATCCGGTGGATCTCAACGTGTTAAAGAACTTATGGTAAATTTTATTGAATTGATTTTCGATAAAGGTTTGTTTTTTCTTTTTGCTTTTCTTATCATAGGCTCGAATTGAAGATGGTCCATTAACACCTAGTTTATCACCATCGAATACAGTATTTGATGTTTGTTCATTATTTAAAGAATTTCTCCGTCGTCTTACATATCCATTAATAACATATCCATTACAAGATCTTTTACTTGATTGTTTTTCTATGCGTTCATTAACATTAGATAAAAAAATTGATATGTATCTTAATATTCTTCTACTTTTACCCGATGAACATTTACATACACTTATATATATATTAAGATTTTTACATGAAATAACATTAAATGAACGTGATAATAAAATGAATGCAAAAAATTTAGCTATTTGTGTTGGTCCTGGTATAATGCGTACAATTATTGAAGGTAAAACAAATATAATGACAGAACAATGTGCAACAAGTGTTAGTGATATTGTTGAAACATTAATAATTAATTCAACAAAACTTGGTTATATTACTGAATCAATATATGAACGATCACAAATGCTTTTAGAAATGCGACAAAAAGAAGTTATATCAAATTCAGATGAAAGTTTTGCTATTGAAAATGGTATTGATAATGGTATTAGTAGTACAGGAAAAATTAATGATCCAACCAATGCAAAAAAAACGTCGTAGTGGTTCTGTTAAAGGTATTCATTTTATGAAACATAGTCTAAAAGAAATGTTGAGATATATAGAATAGAGAGATTTGCATCTCCGACAGGTCGCGATAGACATTGTTGATATGTGATTTCGATTGAGCTTGGTCTGACTCCATAAGGTTCGTTTAGGCTCTGGCTGAGCTCAAGTCCGGCCGAGCCCGAATCTGACCATGTCAAAGTCCAGCCGAGCCGGAACCTGACCAAGGCTGAGCTGCTCGGGCTCGGTACATGCCCTATATACGATCGAAGACCGTATATCAATAACATCTGGTTACAGTAGCCACAAGTGGTCTCGCTATCGGGTAAAAAGTATATAAACTTCACTTATTTTGACAAGTCGGTAAGTTCTGATTGCAAGCATCAATCCGAGATCGATAGACCTTAATGTATGGGATTTATGATGAAAACACTGGTTTTTGTTTTTTATTGTTCTATTATTTTAAATTTCATTCAATTGCTTTTAGAATTTCTTGTTCATATGACAAATCGACTTCGTCGTCGATCTGGTTCAAATAATGATAGTCGAGATCAAACAAATGCATTTCTAGATCAAAGTGGTAAATTATCATCATCACATACACGTGAACATCGATATCATTATCAACAAAATAGTATAAGTGGACATTGTTTATCATCATCATCAAGTTCAACAACGACAACAAAACGAAAATCAAGTGATGATCCAAATGGTGGTAATTCAAAACGAGGGTAAATATTCATTCATTCAATTAAATTTTCGACTATTTGAAATCTGATCAATATGCATGAGAATATGATTTTTACATTTTTGTTTTTCTATAGTAAAACAAAAACAACTCAAGAAAAATCATCCTTACCCGATATCAATCGTTTTACAAGTCCAATAACAGCATTTCGTCGGAAGAAGAAAACACCTGGTAGTAGTAATGATCCAGGTAAGTTCCTTTTGTTAATAGACGAGCTATCATACATAAACGATATTGTTAGAATCTTTTACTATTCGTTGCAGTACTTATGAGAGAAATCTTTCAACTGATAAAGTCGAAATTGCATGCATTATATTAAACAAAATGAACTATGAATATCTTGAAAATAACAGTTCAAGTCCTTAGCTTATTGCTGTTGCGATAGTTCAGACTAATTAAGAAAAAAAAACCAATCAGATCTAAATAACCAAAAGAAAAATTATAATAAAAAGCTTTCAGCGCAATCCCTTCCGGCATTAAAATGTGAAACACGATCCAGCTGCCTTTCCTAATTGCAGGGGGAATCTTTTAAATTTATGTATTTCGGAGCACATTTCTAAGATATTGTTTTACCCATCCCTTCAAAACTGGAATCAAAAATTAGTTTATACGTTATAATAAAAGGTTTTTGATGCATGGTCTTTGATCTTATATCAACAGTCTTGTATACTCAATGATTGCTTCTCGGAGTGTTTATGAACATATTAGACGTGTTAGTCATCGTCTGTGAGGAGTATTCTATTAGCAATTAATCCTTAATTATGAGATGAATAATCAGTCCCAAACTAGCCGTTAATTAATTAATTAGTCACTCACCCTAATTAATGAGGCCTTAATTAATTATTAACTAACTAATTAATAAAATGTCTGTCACGCCTGTGACATGTCATTGCTAAGGATGTCTGTCACGTCTGTGGGAGAGAGGGGAGGGTCCAAATTTCTATCTTATATACTTCACCACTCCTTTTAGATCGTGTTTCACAAAAATACTAAGAAAATCATTATTATTTATATCATCAATTCATTTTTGAATTCTAAATATCATCTAGGTTTTCCATTTAAAATTGAACATTCACATTTACCACAACTACTTCATTTTACTGATGAAGTTCCATTACGTTTTACAAATGCTGTTATTAATACAGCTTCATCATCATCATCATCGTCATCAACAACAACACCAAATGGTTCAATAACAACATTAACATCATCGATTGTCAATAATAATTCATTTGTTCTAGGTGCACTTCAACCATCAACAATGATTCCATCGGAAACACAACCTTCATTATTAACAAATCCAACACCAGCTGCATGTATTAATAAATCTCTTGATGCAAAAAAGTAAAATAATTTAATATAAACTATTGAGATCGATTTATAAGTTTATTTGTTCTATTTTAGACTTAATCTATTAGATTCATGGAAATGGCCAAAATCGAGTCGAGTTTGTATATTGTATTTTTTTTTTTCTAATGAATAGTTTGAGTCAAGAAAAGAATATATAAAGTAGTAAATTTGTTTCTCAATTAAACTAGGAAAAAGTCGATTTATCTTCATAGATCTTTGAAGTTGAGTTATGATTTTTTTTACTAAATTTTCGATGCCTACCGAAAAATCATGTAACGAAATTTCAACTGAGAAGAATGTCCGGTTGTTGAGATATCAAATTTTCAAAAAGTAATTGCTTACCACTTTCAGTCTGCATCTGCAACTGATGTGGAAACTTCTCGAAGTGATAAATCGCTTTTGACCTGAATTTCTGCTCATAAAGCAGTCTGATGTTTACCATAAGTTTTACTGTAAACGAATGTTTTATTCCCGAGATTATTGGCTTTTGAAAAAATTAAACACTTTTCGGCCTTTCAGTGGAAATTTTCTAATGTGAGAATATATGTTGGTCATATTATAGAGGTTATTATTGCTCATAATAGCTCGAACTCAAGAAGAAAGGTTCATGAGTATGAGTCATTCTAGAATTCTTCTAGTCTCAACGATCAGTGAAGTGTCACTTCAAAAGTGATTTATCATTCTTTTAGACTGTTCACCAAGATGTCCTAGTAGGCCTAAAATAACCTCAAACAGCAGGTATCAGTTTGAATGATTGCCTATGCAGTAATAAAACAAAACATTGTTTATGTAGAAAAATGTTTCCAATTAACTTCATGATTTCAATCATGTTTTTATTTTTTCGTATCATTTAGAAAGCCGAACGAAAACCTCTTGTAGCTATTCATGCACCTATGTTACTTTCTTCAGCAGTTGGTTCATCATCTCTTTCACAATCTCCTCCATCACCAATAAAACCAATAAATGGATCAAATTCATCATCATCATCATCTCAACAAATAGGAGGTAGTTCTTCAATAATGCATTCAAGTTTTGGTGTACCACGTCGTCATTCTGATGATGTTGTTAGTACATCATTATCAACAACAGTTTATCGTCCACGTCGTTCAATATCATCAAGTGGTGGTCAACAACAAACACGTCATATTGTTTGTATGCTTAATAATTATTCTCATTCATTATCATCAAATCAACAACAAAATACAAGTGATGATGATGATGATGATAATAATAATGATGAACAAACACAAAATATACAATCAATACCAAGTAATCTCAATTTAACACAAGAATCATTTGATGATGAAGATGATATATCAAATGAACTTAATTTAGCTGTTGTTGTTGGTAATGAAGATGTACAATCATTACGTGCATATTCAACTGAACAAACAAATCAAGATAATGGTTCACTTAATGTTGCATTTATTGATGAAACAGATATTGAACGACAAAAAATTCATGAACAACGTGATCAATCAAATGCAATGGATATACCAAATAATGAAAATGATACATTATCACAAACAATTATTGCTAATTGTGAACAACAATCAATTGAAATGCAAGATATATGTCAAACAAATGATCTTGATGATATTTTACGACGAAATGAAAATCGTTGTATTCGATTAACAGATTCAGATGTAATAAATTCTCTTTTTTTATTCCAAATTGAATTTTTTTTCTTTCTATTTCTTTTAGGATGAAGAACATGTTAATTTTAGTTTATCAATGAATCGTATAACACCACCAAGAATTAAACAAGATGAATTAAAATCAACAACACCAAAAATGCCTGTTCGTTTATCATCATCAATATCAAATTTAATATCAACAAGTTCATTAACATCAATATGTAAAGAACGATCATTATCATGTTCATTATCACAAACAACAAATGAATTATTTCATTCAAAAAATCTTGGAGAAAACGACGAGGTAAACATGATGCATATATAAGTTAATTCTTTTTTTTTTCTTTGTTGTGGATTTAATCTTATTATTTTTTTTTTTGATCTATACTAAATAAAATATATTGAAAATTTTTCTTTTCTCATGGATGATGATAATAATAATAGTATTTAAAAAAAAATATCAATAAACAAATTTATTTTAAGATGGTGAAAAAAAGTTTAGAAATAACGATTTTTTTGGTTTTTGTCATAATGTTAAGCACATAGCTCTAATCTAAATAGTGATTTTAATAGCCAATGGAGTTTTCTATCCGATAAACTTTATAGCAAGATTTTACAGATGAAAAATGATAGCAAGACTCCTAAAAAACCGCACACGGTATTTTTCAGGTTCTAGAAGACTTTGTCAGAGCTATTTTTGAACGGTACCATCTTAAAGAACACAAAATTCTAAGCAAAATAAGGGATCGCCAAGTTTTCCATGGCCTTCTCATAAAAAGTTACAAGCATCACAAAAATCATGAACAAGACGTTTTTAGTCGATTTTTAAAAACCTTTCGTTTTTTCATGATTTTTGTGATGCTTGTAACTTTTTATGAGAAGGTCGTAGAAAACTCGGCGATCCTTCATTTTGCTCAGAATTTTGTGCTCTTTAAGATAGTATCGTTCAAAAATAGTTCTGACAAAGTCTTCTAGAACCTGAAAAATACCGTGTACGATTTTTTAGGAGTCTTGCCATCATTGTTCATCTGTGAAATCTTGCTATAAAGTTTATTGGATAGAAAACTCTATTAGCTATTAAAATCACTATTTGGATTGAAGCTACGTACTTAACATTATGAAAAAAACCAAAAAAATCGTTATTTCTAAACTTTTATCCATCACTCTATATATGTTATTTAGAATATTGGTGTACTCAATGGTGGTCGAGAAAGTATTCTTCAACTTAAAGGTGAATTAGCTGGTCGTGTTTTAAGACAAGTACGAGCTTTTGAACAACGTTCATCAGAAAATATACAAAATCGTTCGATTGTACCATCATGTACATCAGTATTATCATTACAACAAAAATTACATGATAATAAAAATATTTTAACAATGAAATCATTATCAACATTATCATCATTAACAATAATGAATACACCTGAACAAAATCTTATTGAACAAGCATTAAAAAATTCAAATAAAATAATTTCATCGTCGAATGGTACCGGTGAAGTAACACGTTCAGTAAAACGTTTACAAAATACACCAATACGACGATGGAAAGAACGTGCTAGAGAATTTGAACGACGTCATCAATTAACACCACCATATCGTTTATTAAATAGAAAACGAAAATGAAAATGAATTTATTAGTATGATGACTAATTAATTAATCATATGCATGATTATCGTTTTTTTTTCTGTACATGTTTTCTTATGTGTTACAAAAACAGAATGAAACTTCTGTACTTGTATATAATTTTGTCTTGTTTCAATCTTCGAAAAAAAATAAAACATATGTGAATATATTGAATGAATTGAAATACTAATGAGTCGTTTGATATCAACTTACAACAAATTTTTGATAATTTTATAGAACAAATTCTATATGTAAATAAGTAGAATCTCTAAGAAATGTAACGAATGCAAATCAACTTTGAAAAATTCCTTTACCGATGTTCTATGCTACATTTTTGCTTTCAAATATTGTCATTATTTTGAAAACAAATAATTTGTTTTCGAAGTCTATGTAGCGATCTAGTATGAAATTTAAATTTCGTGCAAAAAAAAGTCATAAATGACAATACAAATTTCACATCGTTCTATATGAACTCTCTGACATCCTTAACTAAAAATGACGAGAAAGAGTACCCTTAAAAACATCGGAAAACTAGGACGAGCCGCGAATAGACGTGTATCTAGCCTGAGGAAATATAAAACTGCGTAGCTATTAAAGCAATGTTGTTATAAAATATGTCACTTCGGTACTGTGCACTCGTTAACATAGAATATGTGGCTGTTTGTTTTTACATTAAAACGTTTTATATATGTTCGTAAAGAATTGAATGACGAATCTTTTGATAAAGAATTCAAACTGAAGCAATGGAGACTAACGGAAGTATTGATAAAATACTAAGAAGTCCATTTATTCTAGTACATCCGTTATTATAATCATTCAAAATGTCATGTTATATGTGTGCAAAGTTATAAATAATAGATTGATTAGTGAATAGAAATCATTCAAAAAATGATGAAAAAACAAAATGATTTATTAATCTTAAGTTTCTATTTAGATTAGGATCAAAACTAATAATTTCATGACATCATCTAAATATGATGATCACAATAGAGTTCATTTGACTTAAAATTCATTTCCCAAGATAATCAAACATCAATAAATTGTTTAAACTTGGTGCGATCATTCGTTGAAATGCACTTTCATTGACAATTTACAATTATCGTTATAGACAAACAATCGAAGTGGTTTTTTTATGTTTTCATTGTTGTTACATGAATTGTATACAAAATCAATTAAATATTATAAAATGATTTAGTCTCATAATCATCGATCAACCTGTTTAACATCAATTATTTGACTAAGCAATTAATTAATATATAATATGAAAGAAAAAAAGTATACATAAATAATTACTTCTAATCATTTCCCATATGTTTAGTTTCAATAAGAAGTCTATGATGTCTCTTGTGATTTTCAAAGACTCCTACAGAAAAAAAAATACCAGATGTTTAATCCTTTGTTTTTTTTACGATATTTATAAACATCCTGTCATATAACATATGATGCAAAAGTAATTTGTCAAATGTCAGCCTCTATTTCTCGTTCGAATCGTATATATCTTATTTTTATTATATGGTTATGAATAAAACGGTTCAACACAAAAAAAGACAAAGTACTTTCAAAATGAGTCCATTTTTTGTCATATAATGCGAAATAACAATATATATCTCTTTAAAGTAAACATCTGTTGGAACGAGAGGTTTTTTTACCAAATATTTCTCATCTTTTGAACTGTATATAACTTAATTTCGTTATACGTTCATAAATAAAATGGCACGAGAAAAAAGAAAACTACTCGCAAAACGAATTTGTAAATCTTATAGAATAACAGTTAATTATTGTTTAAAGTAAAGCATTTATTACATATTGAAATTTTTATTGAAGAATGATGATCGTTCAGTAAACCTTTCTAATCAAAAAAAATTAAATCATTTAATAATCGTTAAGGTATCATTCAGTATAAATTAGCTAAGTGTTTCAATCAACAATTAATTGTAACTTATAAAAAAATGAACATCTGTTGTTATCAGAAAACAAAAGTTTCGCTCAAAAAAAAAATGCAAAATTTTTTCTCATTATGTGGTGCGGATAAACCATACTTTTTACTCTACAGATTGAAATACAATTTCTATTGATATTAAATTCAAAAATAAAATCTGAACTGAAAATCACGGTTTGGTTGATCATATCATGAGAAAGGAATTTTGAATAATTATGAAAAGTGCAGAGTCATTTTGGGCTTTGTCCAATAACTTTTACATCATATATTATTTATTTTTCTTTATGTTTAATTAATTATTAATATAATTTTTTTTTCTTTGACGGGAAAAAATAGCAAAATAAGGAAACATGTCTATGTATATATATATATATTGTTTTTGTTTGAGTGATGATATAATATACATTTATAATTTGAAAATTTCGAGATAATTCGTACATATTTTGTTTTTCTTAGACTATGTCTATGAATAGGAAATTCTTGATTGAAATGTGTTTTTTTACATCACAATTTCATCATCACTACCTAAACGTTTTTGATTATCTTGTTTTAATAATTTAACATATTTAGCTTTATCTTGAAAATTATTTAAATGAATTTGTTTAGCAATAAATAATTTGCTTTTATTTCCATGATGTTCTAATGGTATTTGTTGATGATAAGGTGATTTTTTTGTACCATGTAATACTAATGACCATTCATAAAATTCACCAATTGTTAATTTTTGACTTTTTTCTTTATCAATTATTGTTTGATTTTGTTGTTTAGTTAATGGTGCATTAATATTATCATCATTATCAAAACGTATTTCAAGTGTCCAGTGACCTTGTGCTTGTTCAGCCCATGCATGAGTTGTCATAAATGGCCATTTATAAAAACCTTTTGTTGAATCATCATCTAATGGACGACGACTTAAAATTAATGATCTAAATAATAATAATAATAATAATCCTAAATTTCAATTTGATTCTTTAGTTTTTATTGAAAAATTTTGAATAATAATATATGTCTCTTGATAGAAATGAAATGTTAATTATGAAGTATTATGAACTATAGAAATGAGTGTCGGAGGAATAGTATTTTTCTAAAGATTACATTGACCTTTTCGAAGCTTTTAATCCTTTCTCCGGAAGACAAACTTTCTATTTTTAAACTATCCTATTTAACGCCAATATTACTGTTTCAAATAGACATTTTTAATTACTCTCATAGCCTTTAGATGTTTTTTTTGAATGTATCTGACAGCAGGATGATGACAATTTAAAACTCTTGTTACAGAAACTTTTATAATAATGCATAAATCTCTTAATCATTAATGACACGTTCTTTTTTTTTCTATTTGTCGAATTAATACATGATTATTTTTCATGAAGATTTTATTAAGTAGATTTTAAAGAATTTGATATTCTTACCGTGTACCAAGTGGTGATGTAAGAAAAATAACTGTATTACCACGTCGAGTACTTTTAAGTGTAATAAATACTTGAACATGTTCAAGATAATTTATTTCATCTTTTGTATTTTTACATGCATTTGTAATAATTGTTAATTTTAATGAACCTTTTTCAGGAATTATTCTACATTAATAAAAATCAAAGAAAAAAAGACTTTAAAAAAACAAAACTAATACTGTTTACCGTTTTCCAGTTATATTACCAGCTGAACAATGAAATCGAGTTGGTAATGATTTCCAATTTTTAGCATGTCGAACCATATCACCAGCTAGATAAGTTTAAAAGAAAAATTTAACAAAAAAAAAATAAATTTAATAAACAAATAAATTAACCATCAAGAACACCAAAACCAAACAAATGATTAAATTCCAATCCAGCTCCATTAATATGCCATAAATGTTGTTTTGTTGGATCAAATAATTGATTACGTTTTGCTGTTAAGACCGTTAAATGTTGAATATCACGCCATGTTAATTGACGGCTTAAAAAAAAAACGTCAGTTTCAAACATTTCTTCTTTTCATATCAATACTTTGCTTCAAGTACAAGTGCAAATACACCAGCTGCTTCTGGAGCTGCTGCTGATGTACCAGAATGTTTCAAAGTACATTGTCCATATAAATCTGTTGTTGCAACTCCTATTTCAATAGAAATAAAAACATTCCATTAATTTTCTACGTTATATATTTACACATAATCATTGTCACGAAAGCGTACTTCATTCTTTTATGACATGCAACATTATAGAAGAAAATTTTATTATGCACATATTAAAAATAAAAACAAAAAAAAGTCTTGTTTTCTATAGAAATGAATGTATTGATAGACTTATACTCTAATAAATTGATTATGTACTAGTGATTTTTATCAACTAACCTGCCTGTGGATCATCACTACGTCCATTACTAAATGTTGATGCAAGTGTTGATGAACAAGATTCATCATAAAGTGCTGTTCGACCATCATTAATAGCTGAATTTATTGATATTGTCCACATTGATGCAGCATATCCATCACAATTACAATCATCATTTGATCCACCATCACCACTTGCCCATACATATAATGAACCTTAACAATTAAAAACAAAAAGAACAAATGCAATCTACTTAACTAAATGAACTCATTATTCTAGAGATCTTACCAAGACCACGACGGCCCTTAAATAATAAATTGTTCTCTTATAAAAAATATTTAGTTAATTATATTTATTTACTTCGTTAATACCCTTGACAATTGCTTTCATAGTTGCATGTCGTGGTCCGTCGACTGTTTTACCATCATCAACTGGTCCTTAAAATGAATAACATTTAATTAGATAAATTAATCATGAACGCAAAACAAACCCCATGATGCTGAATAAATATCGATCGAATCTGGTTCATGTGCCATTGAATGAGCTTCAATAAGATCTATCAATAATTATATTAACTTTCATTTCTTTATTCTATTTCTTATTTATACCTGTCATATAAGGTTGATCAAGCATTCGAATACCTATTGAATAGAATTTTATATTAAACTAAATATATTTAAAATTTTTTTTTACCCGCTACCATTGAATCATAAGCAACACCTACACCACAAATATTATTATCTTTTGCAGCAGCTATTTCACCAGCACAACGTGTTCCATGACTAAATAAAATTTTGTTTTTATATTCATTTTTTTTACAGATATTATTTACCTATTAAACCAATCATCTGTATAACGTGGATAAGGATATTGATCATTACTACTAAAATCATAACTGGCAGCTGCATTCTAAAATAAAATTTTCTTGAAAAGTTATATATATATTTTTTTGTTTCGACATACATAATTATGCATAAGATCAGGATGTGTATAATCTAGACCATCATCCATAATAGCTGTTGTAACATTTTTACCTGTATAACCAAGTGCCCAAGCTTCTTCAACATTTAAATCAAGTCGAGGTTTACCACCAGCTTGTCCAACATTTTTCTAATTAATATTATTTTATATAGTAAAAAAATAAAATAAAATCATTATAGATTTTATCTTACCAAATACCATTGATATTTAAAATAAGGATCATTTGGTTGTTGATATTTTGAAAAAGTATCTTTAACTTTATCTAATGAACGATAACCACGTTTGACACGAATATGAGGTATTTGATGAATAGCTCGTTTTATCTGTCAAGTAACAAAAATACTTCATGTCAAATTTTTTATTTAGATAGTTACAAGATGATGTTGTTGAATAAGTTTTTCTTGAGCAATATCACGTTTTTTACGTGCATGAGGATGTATTGGTTTAAGATCAACAAAGTGATATAAATGTTTATCATTTAATACCTAGAAATAACAAAAAATATTTATATGACCCTGTTTTTTTTGTTTTTATTAAATAGACATACCGGTCCTCGAGAAATCATAGCATATCGTTTAGCAATATGTTTGGCAACATCAGGTTCAATTTGATGATGAAATTCAACTAACCAATCTTTTGTAATAGTAGGTTTTATATTGGAATAGACAGTAGAAAAAATAAATGTTAATAAACATAAATCATAAGAGAAATTCATTGATTTAATCATTAATTGTGTTATTTGGATAATAAGTTTATTTATTATTTTTAATTGTTTTACTAGTTAAATAACACCATTTCACACTTCACTTATTTTTATATAAACTCTGATTAATTTGTTATTTTGTAGAAAGAAAGAAAAAGAAGTATAGAGGAAAAAGACTGATGGTGTTCTAGAAAGAAAACAATAAATGCAAATGTTGAATGCTATTAGAAGTCGAACAAAAAGCTGAGAATTTATGTCGAGCATTATTTTTATTTTGCTTTCTATACTCGTTGTTTTTTTTTATGCTATATGTTGTTATTATTACTTATCGTTCATCCATTTTCATCATTATTGTATAAGCATATAATAAAAAAAGAAAACTATGTTGCGAGAAGTATCTAAATTTATATTGTGCATTCGAGTAATTCTAAAGAGACTCATAGAAAATAAGTGAGAATAAGGACAACACAAAAAATAAGATGAGAGAGAGAGAGAGAGATGAAGAAGAAGAAAAAAAAGAAAGGAAATAACTGTGCCGCATATCTTTAAATAGTTAAAAATATACAAAAAAAAAAAAGATGTGAATACTGTTTTCTCTCTCACATTTTCTATTTTTTTTATCAACATATAGATTCCTTCCGATGAAACAATTCATATAGAAACAAAAAAAGAATCTCTGATTCTCTAATGTCATAAACAACAAAGTCTTCTGCTTGGATTAATCTGGCAAACATTACTGTTTTTACCTGTCATTCTATATTTTCTAGTTTGCGTGCATGATAAATAGAACATAGCTTGTGAGCAAATTTAGATAGAGAAGAAAAGAAATATAATAAAAAGGTACTTCCTATATCTAATAAACAAAACAAAAGAAAAATTATATTTGATTAAACAAAAAAAAACACACTAGTAATATCAAATGAATGAGAGAGAAAGTATTCATTTAAATTTTAAATATAGTTTTTATATATAATATGTAACATAGTATTGTGATTTTTAAATGAACAAAAAAATAATCTTTGACGTTGATTCTAATGAATGTAATTATGTACTAAATTACTACGTTGCATTTCTCTTTATTATTGACAGTTATCTGTAGAATTTCTCTGGTTTACATCAAACTATATGAAATATTCTTTTTTCTTTTTTTGATAAAGAAAACCAAGTGAGTTAGGTGAACACTATAAAATAATCAACTACATTGAGAAAAAAAATTCAGCTACACCGAAATCAATCATAATGAAGCATATTAAAATTATCAATGAAGCTAATGAGGAAACTTCCTCAGATGGTTCCTTCCGAGTCTAATTATCATTTTGTCTATAAATACTACATAATGCTCTAATAAAAACTGGATTGACAAAGCTAGAGAATTTTTTTTCTAGAGACTCTCGAATTTTGATTTGAAACTTAACTAGACTAACTTCTATACAAAAAGAAATTCAGACGTTTTAAATAAAGCCACTTCGAAATATGAAGGTTTCAAAAACTACATGTTGTATACACTATCCATGAAAAAGAGTCTATATACTTGAAACGCTCATATATTGAAGAGACTTTGTTGAAAACTTATTAATTTTTTTTTTAAATAGAAGTTAGTCTAGTTAAGTTTCAGATCAAAATACGAATTTTTCGTAAACTCCTGGGAAAAAAGAAAACTTTTTATTTTACAAATTGACAAGTGTTTCTATGACAAAGGAATCTAGAAATATTGAACTTTTTAGAAAATCTGTATCATTGTCTGAAAGCATTGATTGAGTGTATGTTCCAAATATAAAAGAATATTCTCTGAAAGTTTCGCCGATATTGGATTAGTGGAAAAAAGTAGCATGACCAACTTTACCAAAGAGGTCTTTTTGGAAAAAGAATAATTTTTTTTTTTCAGAACGAAAACTTTTTTTATAATAAGCGATGCAAAAGTCTTTGAAAAAATCTCACACACCGTTAGGCCATATTACCAACTGGTAAACCAATGAAATTTTTTTTTGTTAGAAAGAATAATATCTGAACTACAAGAAACGTCAAAAAGTTCTTGTAACTTCATCATCGCATAATATCAATTTTCTATTTTCCATTAAACTTTTTATATCACAAATGAAATGAAAGATCATGTTTAATGATGATTTTTGTAGTATAAGAAGTGTTCTTTCCAATGGTGTATTGAAAATTAAATTTATTCTTGGTTTTTATGACAAAATATATCTATTTCCGAAAGGGACTGTATATCTCGATCGTTCTGCAACAATAAAACATATTTTTTCCTGTTAAGTATCTATGATTTGACATATTTCGAACAAATAATGCAAAAAGAATTCAATTCATGAATGGATTTCGGAGATTCGTTGATTGTTCTTGCAAAACTCGATTCTATAAAAAATTTCAATTTGCAAGTTTTTTTTAGAATAAAAAATCAAGAATGGATTTAAAAAATTTATCAAACCTGAAGCCAATCGAGTTTTTGATGGTCTACACTGTGGTAAAATTTTTTTAATTAGAATTAGATCGATGTAGCTCAAAATAATTGAGAAATAGAAACTTGTTTTTTAGTGTTTCCTCCTTCTTAGAGTCATTCTGAAAAATATGTTTCATATATAAAACTTATAGTGAAGATATTACTCTTTCTAAAAAAAACAACAAAAAAATTCATTGACTTAGAAGTTGACAATACGGTCTAACAGAGTGTGACATTTTTCCAAAGACTTTTGCACCACTTATTAGATCGATAGAGTATAAGTCCTAATTTCAGACTATATATGATTTATTACTCAATTCTTTTCTGTTTTTCACAAAATAATGATGTTTTTATCTAAAAGTACTGAAATTTGACCTTTTTCAATAGAAAGCTATGGTCACATGGGAAATCGAGTTTTGACTTCAAACTTTTCATGAACAAAGTGTTCACAATGGGATTAATTCATTGGACAAGTTTTAGCTTTTTCGGTATCTCCTATTCCGGGATATTAAAAATTCGAAATTATCTCATGAGATTTTTATTAAAATACTATGTTATATATGTATAGACAAGAATAATTATTGAAATCGAAAGAAGACATCTGAGAAGATTCCCTTGAAAGTTTTTTTTTCTTTAGTTATTTAATATCATACTCTTTATGTAATTATTTAATTCATATTTTGTTAACTTTCATTTTTAATCAAAATCTATAAAATAATGTTTGTATTTATTACATAAGATATTGAATCAATAGAACATATTGAAAACTATATTTATTAGAGAATCAATATGAATGACAAATATTTGTTTTCGCTATGGGCAAAAAACTTTTTATTCCTATTGAATTTACAATATAATATAAATTTCAATTAATCTTTTAGATGTAATAAAGTATAAAATCAAAAGTCATGTATAAAACATCGGAAGTTCGATAATAGTCGTGTGGAATTTATTGATCTTACAATATAGTTTAATATTGTTGTTTTTATTAATAAATCGAAAGGAAAAAGTATCCGGATAGTTGAATATGTAGTAAAAATAAAAATAATCAGTAGTTTATTATCTTATCAATTATAAAAGAATCACGATAACAACATTATCAAATTGAATGACTCTACTATCAACAAATTTATTCATTGTTTGAAATAAATATTAAACCGGTCGAGTGCGACATCATTTTTAAACAAGATAGAAAATCTAACAATAAACATAACTGGTCTTTAATGAAGACCATTCTAACAAAAATTGTCAAAAAAATTTTTATTATTGATAATTACAACGAGTGGGCATGAATAATATTTGTTTTTTTTTGTAGCTCATAACACGGTCAATATTCACTTTCATATTGTGATGAAATACCTTTAATATATAATCATGTTTTTTGAATAATACAAATGGAGAACAAAAAACAAAAACAATTCTTTTCATTCTATCTGAGTAAATAACAAATTATTTAACTATATAAAAAACAATTCTGTAAGGTAAATAATTTCAATAACATATATATATACACCAGCTGTTATATTCATAAAACAAATTTATCTTTGACATATATATGTGATCTTCTAAAATTGATCGAGACCTTTTTTTTTATATATAGTTATTACATGTTTTAGTAAACAACAAAATTGCATTATACTATTCGTACATCCATCAAGTATATGAAAATAAAATTTTGACTTTATATCATATATATATATATATATTATTGCTCTATATATCTGTTGATCTTATACAACAACATTCTTTGATATATTTTCTTTTTTAGAAAATATTTTTTTTTTATTAACGAATATCATCTTGAATGGATTCATTGGTTTCATCAAATGTTCCAGTTGTTCTCATAACAGGTTTTGGTCCATTTCGTTCGGTACTTAATAATCCCAGTTGGGAAGTAGCTAAAGCATTAAAAGCATATCTTGAATGGCAGCGTCCAATACATATTATTCTTGAAGAAATGCATGTTACATATGATAATGTTTCAACTAGAATACCTGATTATTGGTTAAAATATAATCCAACAGTAAGATTTATAAAAAAAAACAGAAAAACTTCAATTGAATGTTTGTTTTAGTTAGTTATTCATATTGGTGTAGCAGTTGGAACGAAAGAAATTCAAATAGAACGATGTGCTTGTAATATTGATTATTGTTATCAAGATAATGAGGGTTGTTTACCCGAAGATGGACGATGTGTAAAAAAAGATGCACCACCAATGTTAACAACACTTCTTCCAGTTGATGATATTTGTGCTAAAGTACAACGTCGAACAAATATGCCGGTGTCAGTATCCAATGATGCTGGAAGATTTCTTTGTGAATTTATTTATTATCAATCATTATTTATTGATCGAAAACGAACAATATTTATTCATATACCTGAATTAGATGAAAATAATACAATTGAAAATTTAGCTAAAACAATACAATTAATTATTTATGAATTACTTCATTATGTTGATCCATTACCAATATTAAATCAAGATGGAAATTATTTTATAAATTCTAATCTACAAAAAAATTCATATATATATGAAATGAAAAATTTCAATTAGATCTTTTTTTTTATTATGTTATAGATTCTATTTTCTTTTAATGTTATTTTATATATTTCCATATTCATCCTTCATAAATTTAATAAAGAAAATTTATTTTTTTTTTTTTTGCTTTTACAAAAAAATAAAAAATATAATCAATAATAGAATCTAAGAAATTCAACTTCAAGTTAAGACTATCCTCAATTGATTCAATTTTGATAATATTCGGTTAAATTGATTTTCTTATGTTCAAATAGTAGAGCATTAAAATATAAGTTTTAGTTAAATTATCAATAAATTTGAAGATACTTTTCCAATGAAGAAATCCATTCGACGAATATACTTCGTTAGAGTTCATAGTATAGATAAAAATCCTCAAAAGAATTTGTTTCATAGAACCTTTCTTCGTGAATTATGTTCATTTTACTAAATTCTCAATCTCATGCATAATGTTCTAATAGTTTAATCTCAGACAAATGATTTCTTTTGAACATATTGAATATCTTAACAATCGACTATTTGTGGAGAAAGTAATAGTTATTATCTCCGAAGATATATATCAGCATTCAATCTAAGAGAATCAAGTTTGAAATAGATCGAACGAAAAACTAAAATCCTAAAATCGATATTGAATTTCGGATTTGTCTTCGACATAGTGATGATACGTCTTTTGTGCATAGCCGTTAGATCATGAAAGTTTGATTTAAATAATTTTTCCGTTGAATTTCATGAATAAAACATTCTAAATCTAATAACGATTTCAGGATGAAAAATGACTTCTGATTTTAAATTTTTGTTCGATTCAAGTTTGCACTAATATAATGTAATTGGCTGAGAATTCAATAAAAACGAACCCTTTGTTGTATCTCTACTAGAGCTCAAATGTACAATTTCAATCTAATAAATTTTTAATTGCATTTGTGTATACTGATCAAAAGTCTAAAAATCAAATGTGCCTTTTGTGACATACATATTTCCATTTATTCAATTAAAAGAACATACAATATCAAAATATAAAGTTTCGTGAAATACAAAACCATCGTCCTTGAAATTGACAAAACAGAAAACGGCAAATTTTTGAACTTTTAAAACTTGAATGTAAGGTCGTTCGTTCTTTTTTTTTTTTTCTTCTCCATTATAAGTAGTGATACAACAAGTTACAGATGCATTCCATATCAAAAAACAAGGTCAGTACACATGTTGACTTCCACATGGACTATGATACTAAAAAGATACAATTATTTTTTGATTAAAATCAAGAGAGAAATTACTTTGATTTCAATATATTCTATTATAAATAATAGAACTTAATCCATCAAAACATATTTGTACTTGGTCGAATTAATATCTGAATCTTTTTACTAGTGTGACAAGCGCCAAAATTAAAATATATTCCCGTTGGCGATTGAATCAATAGTAAATAGGCCAGAGTTCAAAATCCAATAAAAATAATGTCTTTAAAAAGCATCACTTATGTTACTACTGTGAAATACTGTAGATATACATTCAATCCACTACAGTATAATACAATAGTAATATTAATGAGCTTATTTTATAAGATATTCTTGTAGGAATTTTACTGATGTTTAAGAGTTTCGTCTATGTACTACGACCTGAATTGTCACGCGTACAAAAAACAAATTCCGGTGACAATTGAGGCAATAGTATGCAGAGAATACTCAGTATAAAAATTAAAAAATATGTATCAACAAAACAATCGTTGATAACAAAGTGTCAAAAAATTGGTAACTGATACGAATGTGCGAACAACATACACATATAAAATGAAAAGCGACTTCTAATTATCACAATGAAGATATTAATCGTATATAACAAAAAATCCTTACAGAATGTTCATTTGGTACTAACTATACGTCTCTTTTTTTTCTTTTAGAATATAGAGAAAAAAAGATTCATATTTGATGAGTATATTAAAAATATTTTCATCAATCGAACAATTTAATATTACCATCATTCCGCTTACCAAGCAGCGGTACATATTTTCAACAAGAATAAATTGGATTTTTATTACTAAAATATTAAATTTTTCGGAAGACAAATATCGCAACTATCCAATTTCGGTTTGATCGGACTTCTACACAAATTCGATATCTTAGCTGTTTGAATCATTCTATCCTTTCGACTGAATGACAGTTGATTTATCTTTTTTACTCGTTCATATTGCATAATCGAAAAAAAAAGTCTCATATTGTCAAAATTTTCTACCTATGAATTATTATCGACTCATGTAGATCATAAAAATCTTCTACTGATTACTTATCTTATATAACAAAAGTTATTCGTTTTACAAAAATCTTTTTAAAGATTTCCTATTACCAAAAAAATATTTCCATTGAATTATTATCACCATACATATATGAACCAAAAAAAAATCATTCTTTTTTTTTTTTTTTTGTTTCTTGTATATTACCAAATTTTTTATTGCAAATAGTAAATGATCGATGAAAATTACGATCAATTACGAAAATTAAAATTTATTTATTTTAATAAATAATATAGATAAAAATTTCAAAATGAAATTATTTAAAATTATCCATAGCCGAGATTTTACTACATGTACACATACGAATCATGTGATAGTAAAAATTAAAAATACTAAATCACTGAGACATATGTTTAACACAAGTAAATTCTCTTGTGGCGATTATCGCCTACCCATATTTGTCATTGTTTATCAGCTGTGTTTATGTTGATGAGAACTTATCTAAAAATGAATAAAAATTTTAACCTTGAAAAAAAACAACAAGGGAAATAACATACCATTGTATTTCTTTCGAATGTCAACAGAGAGAAATAACACGTGTATGAAAAAAAAATAAAAAAGAAAAATATATCCATAGCCTTGAATGTTGAAATGAACGCGTTGAGGTCATATTCATTTCGTATTAATGGCAAGAAAACACATATACATTCTATATATGTATATGAAAGCTTCATTGTACGAGCACAGTCGTCGGATAGAGAAGAAGAAGAAGAAGAAGAGAAAAAAAAAGGAAAAACGATGCTATTCGTATAGACTGCTGATTTGATCATCTTGTAGTGTTGATCGTGGTGGTGGTAGCAGCAGACGACGACGAATTGTTAGAACAGAAAGAAAAAAAAAGCAAAAGAAATGAATCATAAAATCTTTCTCTCATCTCGTCGTCGACGAAAAAAAAAAAACAGGCATTGCAACACAACAGAATGTAGTCAGGAGGAAAAGCAAACATATTCGCCCCCTACCTCTCCTCTCTCGTTGGTCGTTGAGAGAAGAAAGAAAGGGTTGTTAAGAGAATATTGTTTCTGTTCTTTTTTTTTTTTATTTTGTTTTTTCGAATGGCCTCCATTGAATTACTTGAAAAGATCATCTTAATATCAAGTTATTTTTTTTTATCATGTATAAAAACAACTTTGAATGATTTTTTTTTAATAATAAAATATAATAATATTTTTTTTTGTTTTAACTTGTTCTCAATAATATCTATTTAAAGATTGGTGATTTAAAAAACCAATAGAATAAATCTTTCTTTTGTTCATCATTTTGTAAAACTTGGTTTTTTAAAAACATAATCTTATGATAAATATTTATTTTAGAATATTTTTTGTGCTTATCGAATAAAAAGAAAAAAGGAATACAATTTGTGCGGGTGTGAGATTATTTGTAAAAAAAAAAAAAAGTAATGTTTTATAAAATAAAGACATGATTAGTAGTGTGTGAATATTATGCACATAATAATAATAGTATATGTCAATAATGTAATGAATCACTTATCATTGTATGATTTAATATACAGTTTTTTTTTTTTGAGAAATCGAATCGTTGAATCATAAGTTATTATTGAAATTCAATTTTATTTATAGTCAATGATTCGTATATGCAAATTGAATAGAAGAATATCGTTGAAATATTACGATTATAAAAATTTTCATAAATCAATTAGATATAGAATAAATGTAAAAGTGTATCAACCGGTACTCAACTTATTGAATTATTATAGTGACTAGAGTCTATCGGGTTGATCTCGGACTTCAGGGCCCGTTCGGATTCGAATCCGAAAATTTTGCACCCAACGATCTCTCTACTAGCGACATGCAAACGCAAACGTTTTAAGAACAACACGTCCATTAACTTTATTATATTCATATTTAACCGAATTCTGGAACTTTTCTGTATATAAGCTAATGTTTTCTATCTATTCTCCATGATGTTCGATGTTATAAACTTTTTCAATATTTTTTGTTTGTGTCTTCGTTTTTTTTTTTGTAATAAATATCCGAAATTCTATATATGTACCAGGGTTGGAACCGGTGAAATTCCGGCAAACCGGTCAATTTTCGGTCAAGCTTACCGCTTTAAAATGGTTCCAAACATCCGAAAGTACGATAGAAATTGATAAAGTTACTTCTAGTTGTAAATTGAATTATCTAATATTTAAATAACACGGTTGAAACAATATGATTTAGCTCCTCGTATCATAAGTACAGAAAACTGAAATCGACCTAGGAATAGTTTTTTTTTTATAAGCATATCTTAGAAAATTTCAATATTCGTACTTGAGAAAATATTATTTAACTTTTTATGAAACTTTTAGAAAAGATATGCATAATCTTTATAATCATGAAGCATCATCATTTTTTCAAAAGAATATTAAGATTTTCCTAATTGATTTATATAGTACTACCTGGTCTATTTTGTCTTCGTGTCTATCATAGTATTACAATCATTGCGATAAATATCGATTATAAATTGAACAAAATTTTTAATATTGGCACTATCGAAAGACTTTCTAGATATATATGTATAATGATGGAGAATTTGTTCTACTTCATAGCAAAATACATAGTTCTTCTTACCGAATAAGAGTTAAGTAAAGATAATCTTTTTTAAACTTAAACCGGTATTTACCGGCCCGATTCCAACGCTGATATGTACATTTTTTCTCAAGATTTTACCGAGATTGATGTTTCTAGATAGAACCCGTCGGGTACAGACTCTAGAGACAACATACTGAAAAGGT